CACACACTTGTCCATTGAACGAGGCCCTGTCGACCCCCTCTGAGTGTGTAGGTGGTAGATGTGACATTTAAAACCAGTTCCACATCTCACCTGCTGTGCACAGGCCTCACACTGCGACAGAAACACCCGCGTCTCAGTGTACGAGCGCCGGAAGAGACTCAGACCCTGAGTAGTTGGACGTAAGAAATGAGCTGTGTTTGAAATGTGAACAGGTATAGAAGTCAACTGCCTACACACAGTCACACAGAAGAATAATGTCTGGGGGAAAGGCACGCTGTGTTTTAAACTAAAGCCAGGGTTAGATCATTCTGTCATCGTTTACACACACTCACACTGTTCCACACCTGCGCGACTTTCATTCTTCAGGGGAAGAAACACAAAAGATGTGATGCTGTTCAGTTCCATAGCATGAAAGTGTACACTGACGGCGCTGTCAAACTCCTGAAAGCAGCATAAAAGCAGCATAGATGTACTTCATACAATACAGACTAAAGTGCTAAAGTTTTAGGTGCTTTTGTAGAGCATGATTGGCGAGCCCTAGTTACTGTGAACATCCACTGCGCCGTAACGTTTCTATGAGGAGGACAGGCGTGTAGAGCAGAAGCACACTTCCAATGCGACACAAGACGGCTTAAAAGTATTAAAACGAGACCAAACAAGATGTAAAATAAGATAAGACATTACTTCTTTTCCTGTTTTCATTTTTATTTAAGAACCATGGTTGTCAAGGTCTCAGAAAACCTGGATATATAATATATATATAATTTATAATTATTTTATTTTATTGGTTTAGTGTATTGCCACTCCTAGTTTCAGTAAATAAAAAGTTTGAAAATGAGCGTCTTTGTCATTTTAGCAGAAATATTAGAAATATCGTCTTTGACAATGAGGGAGTCAACAAGCTTGAGAAGAGCTGGTTTAAGGCTGGTTTAGAGCTGGTTTAGGACTTGTTAGAGCTGTTTTAGAGCTGGTTTAAGGCTGGTTAGAGCTGGTTTAGGACTTGTTAGAGCTGTTTTAGAGCTGGTTTAAGGCTGTTTAGAGCTGGTTTAAGGCTGGTTAGAGCTGGTTTAAGGCTGGTTTATGGCTCTTTAGAGCTGGTTTAGGACTTGTTAGAGAGCTGTTTTAGAACTGGTTTAAGGCTGGTTTAGAGCTGGTTTAAAGCTGGTTTAGATCTGGTTTAGTGCTGGTTTAGAGCTGGTTTAGGACTTGTTAGAGCTGTTTAAGAGCTGGTTTAAGGCTGGTTTAGAGCTGGTTTAAGGCTGGTTAGAGCTGGTTTTGAGCTAGTTTCAGGCTGGTTAGAGCTTTTTTAGGGCTGTTTTAAGGCTGGTTAGAGCTGGTTTAGAGCTGGTTTAGTGCTGGTTTAGAGCTGGTTTAAGGCTGGTTTAAGGCTGGTTAGAGCTGTTTTAGAGCTGGTTTAGTGCTGGTTTAGAGCTGGTTTAAGGCTGGTTAGAGCTGGTTTAAGGCTGGTTTATAGCTGGTTAGAGCTGGTTTTGAGCTAGTTTCGGGCTGGTTAGAGCTGGTTTAGGGCTGGTTAGAGCTTTTTTAGGGCTGTTTTAGGGCTGGTTAGAGCTGGTTTAGATCTGGTTTAGAGCTGGTTTAAGGCTGGTTAGAGCTGGTTTAGAGCTGGTTTAAGGCTGGTTTAGAGCTGGTTTAGGGCTGGTTAAAGCTGTTTTAGAGCTGGTTTAGGGCTGGTTAGAGCTGGTGTAGGACTTGTTAGAGCTGGGTTAGAGCTGGTTTAGGGCTGGTTAGAGCTGGTTTAGAGCTTTTTTAGGGCTGTTTTAAGGCTGGTTAGAGCTGGTTTAGTGCTGGTTTAGAGCTGGTTTAAGGCTGGCTAGAGCTGGTTTGAGCTAGTTTCGGGCTGGTTTAGAGCTGGTTTAAAGCTGGTTTAGGGCTGGTTAGAGCTTTTTTAGGGCTGTTTTAAGGCTGTTTTAGGGCTGGTTAGAGCTGGTTTAGATCTGGTTTAGTGCTGGTTTAGAGCTGGTTTAAGGCTGGTTAGAGCTGGTTTAGAGCTGGTTTAAGGCTGGTTTAGAGCTGGTTTAGGGCTGGTTAAAGCTGTTTTAGAGCTGGTTTAGGGCTGGTTAGAGCTGGTCTAGGACTTGTTAGAGCTGGGTTAGAGCTGGTTTAGGGCTGGTTAGAGCTGGTTTAGAGCTTTTTTAGGGCTGTTTTAAGGCTGGTTAGAGCTGGTTTAGTGCTGGTTTAGAGCTGGTTTAAGGCTGGTTAGAGCTGGTTTGAGCTAGTTTCGGGCTGGTTTAGAGCTGGTTTAAAGCTGGTTTAGGGCTGGTTTAGAGCTGGTTTAATGCTGGTTTCGGGCTGGTTAGAGCTGGTTTAAGGCTGGTTTAGTGCTGTTTAGAGCTGGTTTAGAACTGGTTAGAGTTGGTTAGCGCTGATTTAGAGTTTAGAGAGATTGTCCTTGAAGTTCATAGAGAGATGTTCTTTCCAGCGTTTTAAAAAACCCACAGCTTTCATATTCTCCTGAATGTTACTGCTTCTCTCTCCTCAGGTCTTGAACCTCTTCTTGGCGTTGCTCCTCAGCTCCTTCAGCGCGGACAACCTCTCGTCTCCGGACGAAGACGGAGAAATGAACAACCTGCAGATAGCCATCGCTCGCATCCAGCGGGGAATGCTCTGGCTCCGGCAGGCGCTCTGCGACTTCTTCAACGGGAACTTCAAGCGGCGGCGGCAGAAGGCGAAGGAGGCCAAAGCCATGCTGAAGCTCAAGAGACTCAGCCAGCAGGCGCACTGGGTGGAGGGGAACGGGACGGCCGCCGTCATCGAGCGCGGCGGGGAGGAAGACAGTTACATGACCAACCCCAACCTCACCATCAGCGTTCCCATCGCACCCGGAGAGTCAGACGTGGAGTTTCCAGAGGAGGAGGAGGAGGACGAGGAGGACGCGAGCGAGAGCTCGGAAGAGGAGGTGCCAGAAGAAACGAAGCCGGTGAGTAAAGCTAAATCTTGCATACTTACTAGAGATTTGCACTGGGTTTAAACTGAAGCCCGAACTCGGCCTGGACCCTAAATCATTTAACCCGTGTCACGGCGGCTCGCAATGTGACCCATACTGGGTTCATAACACCCTCCCCCATAGAAAAGGGTTTCTATTTATGAAAGTATCCCGGACGAGCCCCCATTTGTCACGGCCGGCTCGCAAGCCGCGACAAAGAAGGAGACAACACGTTGGATAATGATCAAAAGGAATAACATTTATTAAACTAAAACCATATCCCAGTCTGTCAGTAACGCTCTGTTTACTTCCTGTCTCTATGAAGCCCCTCCTTCTGAAAAGCACACCGTGCTCTGATTGGTCGGCTGGAGCAGTGTGTTGTGATTGGTCGAGCGCTTCGAGTGTGTTTGGGAAATGTCCTGCCCCTTCCCATAACCGCCAGTTTAACACTCTACTAACTCACTCAACCAGGCCCCGCCCCTTTATTCTGCGTATGAATTATTATAATGAGGAATATTGTGACGTGTTCGTTCCCGGTAGAAACTCAAGACTACAATGGAGGCGTTTCAGGAGTTCAGAAACACTGACACTGATATAGAGAAGAACGTGTTCATGCTCAAACAGCAACATTACACAGTGAAGAAAGATGAACATATGAAAAAGCAGAATCGGTGCTCTTTAAGACATTTAAGCACATAAGATTTCTTTGGGCAGAAGTGTACTGTACATTCTGCTTGGTTCATGTTTGGTTTTATATTTACCCATCCGCAAACATTGTGTAAAACAATCAAACTGCAGTCAGTGAGACGGTCTCTTCTCGTCTGCCGTCGGCCAGAAAAAAACAATTGCAAAGTGGAATAGACTTCATGTCTATGGTTGAAATGTGAGACTAGATCTATAATATCCTTAAAATGTGGCATTGATGCTCTCATTAATGTTTCATGTGAGGGATTGTGAGCTTGACGGCACAATAATGCAGTTGCAGTGACTCAATCTGGTGCTCTTCGGCCATTTTTGACCGTAAAAGTTTACTTTTTTCCCCCCAGAATTTAATTTCTTCGTCGGAATGGTATGAAACTTGGTAAAGGTTTTGGGACTTGCTATGTGAACACAAAAAAAAAAATCATGGACATGATTCGAACAGGATAAATGGTCCTGAAAAAATAGTCACACTTGTGTTCCCCGCGTTTGATTTTCTCACAGTTTTAGAGTAAACCATGTTTTTGAAAATATATATTTCACATAAAAATTTAAATATTTTTCATAACAATAAATGTAAAATTCTGTAACTTTTTTTAAGTTCACTTTTTAAAACTTTTCACTATTTCACTTCTTTCACTTCAGCGATAATCTTCCTATACTGTCTTTGAAAAAAGATCAAACTTCATACTTCCAAAAGTTGGAAATGTAATTCTCAGGTCTATGCTCAAAAAGTGAATAAATGGATTATAAATACAGCGTAAATATAATTTAGTAACATAAAACCCCCTAAAAATACGAAATATTTAATAAAAAAACATTATCGAACTAAAATATAGTACATTCATTTGACCGACACTCAAAGACACCAGAGGGTTAATTTAGTGTCCATTTAATTTACTAAACAAATCCTGTTTATAAACTAAGGGTTATAACTGTTAATAAGTGCTGTAACGGGACGGCGGCTCAAATCCCACACTCATATTTCAGACCGTCTCCAGTCCTTCAGCATCGTGTTTCTCTCCGTCTCTTCCTCAGGGAAGTCCTGGCATAGAGAGGCTAATAAGAGTCTATCAGACACACACTCTCCGTCTATCTCGGCTGATGAACGCCCACTCCCAACAGCTATTTTCTCCTGCGTCTTCCTCCAGAGATGTTTTCCCTTGAGGACACCCCCAAAACTGGAGGTCATGTCCACACCCCCCCATCCCCCCCCGCTCAGATCTATTAGTTTTCTCCGACTGAATCGTGGCCATATGCCTGAGCGAGCGCCTAGAGGTTCAGCATGCATATGTGTTACACACACATCACAGATGCTTATGAAAGAGGGATTATGAAAGACTTTGCATGAATTCACACACACACACACACACACACACATATATATATATAAAGTGACAGTAAAGATATTTACAAGGTTACAAAAGTATGAATACTGATGATAATCATAAATTAATCATAAATAGATTTCTGAAGGATCATGTGACACTGAAGACTGGAGTAATGATGCTGAAAATTCAGCTTTGATCACAGGAATAAATTACACTTTACTGTATATTCACATAGAAAACAGATGATTTACATTGTAATAATATTTCACTATTTTTACTGTATTTTTGATCAAATAAATGCAGCGTTGGTGAGTGGAAGAGACTTAAAAACATAAAAAAATTACTGAGCACAAACTTTTGAACGTTTATATATATATACAAAATACATCTCAAAATCATTAATTTCTTTAGTTCAGCTTTTCACTTAAATTCTGTAGATAATATAATTTGAAATGCAAAAATTTGTACTAAATTATATGAAATGTATAGTAGAAGATGCTTTAAGCTGAATGCAAAGTTGCACACTGTGAGGAGAAGTACGACTCTCGTTCAGAGGCTCTTGCCCAGCGAGGGCCCCTGGTTCACGCGGGTCCTGGTTTCCCAGCATGCACTCTGCTGGCAGCTTGGCATCTGCAGAACGCTGGCGGTGTGTTTGGAGAATTCCCTCTCATGATGCCGTTGTGTAACACACGGACCACCCGCTCCCATGAGTGTCACGCTGCTCAGGGAGTCCACACACACCTGTGCTGCAGACTCACCTGTGAAACAACTAACAATTTGACAGTTTGAATATCATTTTATCATTTTCCATTTTAAATATTTTATATATTTTTAATATATTTTATATTTCCATTTTTTAATATTTAATTTTTTAATATAGTTTTTTATAATTCCATGTTAAATATTTCATTTTCATTTTGTAATATTTCAAATTTTTTATATTTTTAAAAAGCTTTTAATTTGTAATATTTCCATTTTAAATAGTTTTTAATATTTTAATATCGTTTTTACTATCCATTTCAATTATTTTTAAATATAGTTTTTATTTTTTATATTTCCATTTTTTATATTTCTAACGTTTTGAATTTATGTATAATATATTTTTTATATATATTTTTCTTTTTTAAATATTTTAACATTTTTGTATTGTAATATTTCCATTTTTAATTGCAATATTTTATCATTTTAATATAGTTAAATGTTCTAATATTTCCATTTAAAAATATTTTTTCAATATTTTATTATTTTTTATTATAATTGCCATGTTTAAATCCTTTTAATATTTCCATTTAATTGTTTTTAAATATTATTTTGTTTAATACAAAATTTATTTTGTATTTTCCATTTTCACTTTCTTTTTAATTAATTTTTTAATTTTTTAATTTTAGTTTTGGTTTTAGTTATTTTACTATAGTTAGTTAGTTAGTCTTAGCATCTAAAGTCTAAACATGAAGTTTTAACATCAAGTGAAACTAAATGGAAATGAAGTGTTGCTTTGGAAGCTTTAGCTGATAGAGTGTTTTGATATTTTGATGTGAGTCAGGAGTTCTGTCCACTCTTCAACAGAGTCATGTGTTAACCGGCAGATCGTTCTGGCTGAGAGTGTGTGTGATGTCCATCTTTATTCCTGAAGTGCTTTCGTCGCGTCCTCTCGACAGGGTGATCTCACACACACTGACCCGTGAATGAGTGTGTTCCTCTGAAACACTGTGATGTTGATGCTGAACTGAATCTGGGACACACACCTGTGTGACGAGGGACTTGATGAGCCGCTGATATTTGTTTTCTCTTTAATCTTTCACTACACCTGTTCCACCTCATTCTGTCCCTCTACATCTTTTATCTTCTCGTTTACCTGTTCTTTTATCTTTCTGCACACCTGTCCTCTCCTGCACACTCTCTCTCTCTCTCTCTCTCTCTCTCTCTCTCTCTCTCTCTCTCTCTCTCTCTCTCTCTCTCTCTCTCTCTCTCTCTCTCTCTCTCTCTCTCTCTCTCTCTCTCTCTCTCTCTCTCTCTCTCTCTCTCTCTCTCTCTCTCTCTCTCTCTCTCTCCGATTCAAGATTCAAATAGCTTTATTGGCATGGTGAAAGAAATCTTTACATTGCCAAAGCATTCATAACACTATACAATACAAACAAATAAATAAATCATTTAAAAAATTAAAAAATAAAAAATATATATATATATTTTTTTTTACTCTGTCTCTCTCTCTCTCTCTCTCTCTGTCTCTCTCTCTCTCTCTTATTTCTGTCGTCATTAATAAGGTCTGGTTTCTGTATAAATACGGAGTGACGCAGACTCACATTATACTGTATATTTGCTTTACAGAAAGCATTTTTATTAATGCACTCGTACTGTATGACAACCACTGACTCGTGTCACAAGTAATTGTATTCATTTATTTTTAGATATACCAATTTATGTATTTATTTATAGATTTTGTGATGGTAATATACACTGTTTTTTGTTTGTTTGTTGTAGACATACTAATACTAATATACTTTTATTTATTTATTTTGAGATATATTAATATTTATCTTTTGTTCATTTATTTATTTATAAATATTGTGATATTAATATACACATTGTTTGTTTATTTATTTCTAGACATACTAATACTAATATACATTATTTATTTTGATATATAATAATACTATTTATTTATTTATGAATATTGTGGTAGTAATATACACTTTGTTTGTTTATTTCTAGACATTCTAATACTATTTTACATTATTTATAGATTTATTTTCACATATATTAATATTTACAATATTTATTTATTTATTTATTTACTGATTTACTTTTGTTTATTTGAAGACATAATAATACTTATGTTTATTTTTAAACATACTAATATTTATTTATTTATGTATTTTTTGATGGATACATTGATAAACATTTTGTTTGTTTGCTTGCTTGTTTATTTTGTATTTTTTTCCAGACATACTAATACTAATATGC